TCAAAAACCCTGTCAAACTAGACCTTATAGAGAAATTTTGAAAAGTTAAAAATTATAATTTTTAGTTAATTATTCATTTATCCTCATTTATATTACTATTTCTTTTATACTTTCAAAAATAATGTCCAAAATGAACCCCAAACTCAATTTTTTTTAAAATTAATTTCCAAAGAAAGAGTGAAATGATGAGTTGTGAGCATGTGACAAATGCTTAATTCTTGCACACAATGTTGGGAAAACAAAAGCATATACTTTAACAAAAAAAGCTGTCGGCTATGATGCCGAGAAAAATGGGTTTTGGAATCTCAATTACATGCTAAGAGGTCCAATGGAAGATTAGCACCAAATTTATAATGATAATAAAACAATCCAACAATAAATGACTTATTGTCCATGGAATATTACCAGTCTTGTTTGATATAAATTCAATCATAATTATCAGGTATTGGACGTACACTTGCAATGATGGATTTGAGTAAAATGATTTTGGGCTTAATTAAAGTTTTTTAAGTTTAAGAGGCTCAACTAAAATATTCTTTAGGATAATGTCTAGTGTACGCCTAGAGCAAGTTTAATTTTCAACCCTTGTCTTGCTCATATAAGTAACCTCTACTCTTTTTCATCATTTGTTTTTTCGGGTAACTACGTGTTTAGTATCTAAATTATCAGTTTTGATCCGTTTTAGTACTCAAATTTTATTTTTTTAAAAGGCTTAAAGTAAAAATAAGTACTCAAATTATGCTTTCTTTTTGTTTCAAGTATCTAAACTATTTTTGGTCAAACTAAGCCCTTAAACTATTATATTTAATCATGTAAAATCCTATCATTTTCAATTAGAAAATATTTTTCGACCAATAAGATGGTGACACGTCATATAAAATTAGGTACTTGTTTTGATAAAAAAATAGTTTAGGGGCTTAAATCGAAAAAGATTCATAGTTTAGGGACTGATTTTGACCAAAAAGTAGTTTAAGTACTTAAAGTGGTTACATATAATATTTTAAGGACTTCGTTTAACCAAAAAATAATTTATGTACTTAAAGCAAAAAAATGACATAGTTTGAGTACCTTTTTCAATTTAAGCCTTTTTAAAAACACAACATTTACTTTTTGTTGTATTTTAGTACCCCCATCGTTAAAAATTTGGTGGACAGGCTGAGGTGGCATAGCTTTGGTGGACGAACAACTAATCCAAACGGTGGACCACGAGAGAATAACATGACAACCAATATAATCTTGTTTCAGGCCCATTAGATGGTGGATTATGAAGATCAGAGGATGAAGAAATCGAAGAGTCCTTTGCCGATTTGGGGAGATTGAGGCATTTCTCGGAGAAATGGAGGCCAAAATCACACTCGGGGAATCGAAATGTGCGGGTTGAAAATTTTGGACTTCATTGGTTGACAGATACGACAGTCGATGACTGTATACACGGTGGCCAGTGAGCCTATTCATTAAGTTTTTAACGGAGAAGTACTGAAATGGAATAAAAACTAAACATTAGGATGATTTTGAAAAAAAATGAAAGTTTAGGTAGCAAAATGAATAAAAATTAAGAATTTAGGTACTAAACACGTAATTTACACGTCATGGAGGAGTACATGACAATTAATTGTTTTTAAAAAAAATTCTTCTTCTTCTTCTTTCAAAACACCCAAATGATAAAGTAAAAGTAACAACAAAAAAGCAAGATTCAACCCTTGTCCATTTGTACGAAGTCAACAAAAGTTGTTTGATCTTTATCTATGGACTCAGAAATCAACAAAACAAAATGGATTGTTACATTAGCAAATGCAAACTCAAAAAACATTACATACAAGATTTCAATCATGTTCAAAATAAACTTATCGTCTTCATCTCATCATCATCACAAGCTCCTAAAACTCTCGTTATGACTAGTAAGAAAATCTCTCCATTGCCTCCTTCCCCCACCATCTCGTCCTCTTCTTCAGTCTCTTCCTTCACCTGTTTCACCATCAACATTGCAATTGGTTCGTGTTCTTCCGTTAAGCTCAAAGGATCGATCCTTTTTCAGTGAGTTTTTGTGAGAATGTGTTAAGGAAAATCTTTATATTATCCGTATTAATTCAATCAAGAAAGCTTCTCTTACGTTAGCTGTCACTAAATCTCCTTATCAGATATCGAACTCGACGGTTAAACCAGTGGTGGCACTCGCAAAACAAGGAAGTACGGTGAGGAGAAAAAGCTCTACATTGCAGTAGAGATGACAGTCAAATTTACCATTAACATTACCCTGATTATAGAGTTAACTCATATAACTATTTACTAAATATGAGTTGCAGGTCGTCATCACCAAGCATGAGATTTAACGAAGATGACAATAATACTATCAAGGATTATTGTCAAGATTGATCATAATAATACCGAAGTGGAAATGCCGTGGGCTATACGTAGTTTCGATTCTCCTCCGTGGCGGAGGTGGGGTTTAGATTGAAAGATGGAGATGTTGACTTCTCCATGATGAACACTTCAGAAATTTGGGGTCTGACAAAAAAACTTAGAGAATCGTTAATAGAAAATTATAAATTAACTAGCGATTGGTATATAAGAAAGAAAAAGATGAGAAATAATAAGGATAAAATAAAGACATATTTAAATGGAGATTTTAGTTACACAGGTGAGTAGGGGAAAAAGTGTTTGGTCGGATGAAATGCTTGTCGTGATGTGAAAGAATGTGAGTTGAAGAGAAGAAGAAGAAGACATGATTTTTTTTATAAATTTAATTTTCATGTAATACTTCAGTTAATAGATTAACAATATTAACGACTAATACATTTAAATTGGACGGACTAATAATATAAGGGATCAAATACGTTTAATTTTTTAATTGGTGATCAAAATCGATAAAATCGTAAACAAACAATACTAATCGCGTGATTTACCCAGTAAGGTTGTATTTGTGAGTAGGCTTCCTTAGTGGGAAACAGCTTTAGTTTGCTTTTGCTTTATTTACTATTTTACGAGCGCGATCAGGACTTTGTTTTCCCATTACATTCAAACTACACATTTCAGACAAATCTTTTTGGTTCCATAGAATTTCTTTTACAGTAGAGGTGGTGATGTGTTTAAATGAAAAAATTGAAAATTTTAGCTAAATTAAATATAAAATCATTGTTAAGGACTTATTCGATGTTTTAACAATAGTTTAAAGATAAAATTAAATAGTAACCTTTTAGATAACATTGTTACGTCATCAATTTAATAAGAATAATGATTGAATAATCATTAGAAATGATCATCCAGCTCAGTTAGTAGAGTACAAGGTTCTTAACCTTGAGGTCATGAGATCGAGTCCCATGGAGGGTATTTCATAATTTGGAGGTCTCATACGGAAGCTGCTCTCAACCTAATGTTCGGGGCAGCCTACTATTTTACCTCCCTCTTATCTCATTACATATGAGAACAAGGGACAACCAATCAATGATGGAGTAATCATTAACGTTAATGGCTAATTTGTCATTTTTAGAACTTTAGAACAAAAACAAAAATTTAATCAAATACCAGCCACCGTGTAATTTGCCCTTATAAAAAACAAATGCCATCCAAAATAAAAAGGATAAACTATATTAATGGTCACAAATGTTTAAGTAAATTTTAATTTTTCTCTATGAAATTTTAAATGTAACAAACTGGTTACTAACATTATCAATTTATAACAAATTGATTACTGTCATCATTGATTTATAACAAATCAGTCATTCACCCTAAACAACTGTTACTTCATCATAGAAAACTGATTTAACAAATTTAGAGTGTTGAGCTGTCATTCTTTCGAATGGGAAAATAGATTCTTACCTGCAATTTGCTAGTTTGTTATAAATCGATAATATTAGTGATTAATTTGTTATTATAGAAACTTCAGTGAGGAAACCGAAAATTTACTCAAATATTAGTAACCATTTATGTAGTTTACCCAAATAATAAATGAAAAAATGTCATAAAAAATTCCAGGTGGATAAACCTATAAAAGACAGTATACCTGAAATAGAAAAAAGCGAAAAAGGAGAACAATTATCCAAAAAGATCTTACTCCTGTCCGCCACGTCAGCTCAGAACTTGAATCAGCCACACAAAACTCACCACTTCTCGACTTCTTGTCGATTCATCAAGCATTTCTCACGGCGGTGGCTATGGTGATTAAACGCCAATAAAAGGCTCAAAACTTGTCTCCAATCACTAATAATAGCTCTCAATTATTCCTCAATGGCTCTCTCCGATTTGCAGTATGTTCATTCTGTTCTTTTTTCGCTTTAAATCTTGTCCATAATTTCACTTTTCTCTATAATTTTTTATATTCTTATATCTATTGAATTTCAAATTCACTATTATTATTCATCTAACAAGTCCATTGCTTTGAGATATAACTACGAACTAAACATTCATATGTGTTCTATAACACAACCTTGATTTCTTGTTAGCAAGATTCTTTTATAATGTATTTATTTCTAGAATCCAATGGTGTTAAGAATACATGGGTTGAATTTTTTTTTCACTTATGTTTAATTTAGAGGGTACAATTATGGGAGTCCGATTGTTACAGCAAATGGGTGCAACCGTGTTTTGTTTGCAAGTATTTGTACGAGAAAGATGGGTTTGAGCTTCAAGGGTGTTGGTAAAGTTAGAGCTGCTTTGGTATCTGGTGAAGGGATGTGTTATCTTATCATAAAGGTAATGAAATTGTCGCTGGGAAGACTGGTTTCGTCGATGGACTCCTTGACAAGCAAACTGAGATTGATATGCAGCCTGATGCCGTAGGTTTCGGAACACTTGCAGCCGAAATGATTCCTATGATTGGCAGTTTCTCTGGTGATGAATATGACCTGGATCATCCTACAGAAGGGTTCGCTTCCATCCCCGAAGCCGTTGAAGATGTTAGTCGAGGAAAGGTTTGTCTGCCCTTGTTACATGTTCGAATTCGATATTCGTTTATAAGAATTATCACACTGCTAATCAAGGAAAACCTGCAGTTAGTAATCGTTGTGGACGACGAAGATAGAGAAAACGAGGGTGATCTGATAATGGCAGCATCAATGGCAACTCCTGAGGCCATGGCCTTTATTGTCAAGCATGGAACTGGAATTGTTTGTGTGAGCATGAAAGCTGAAGACTTGGAGAGGTTGGAGCTACCCTTAATGGTAACACAGAAGGAGAATGAGGAAAAACTTTGTACAGCTTTTACTGTATCAGTGGTATGTCCTCTTTGCTTTACAAGATGAGCATTTTCTTCCAATGATGGATTGCAATTTCGATGTTGTACGCTTGCTTTCTATAGCTAATTTAAAGTTTTGGTATCCTTGTTTTGTGATCGATTGTGTCGGTTTCATGCAGGATGCAAAGCATGGTACAGCAACAGGTGTCTCTGCTCGTGATAGGGCTACAACAATAATTGCTTTGGCATCTAAAGACTCAAAACCTGAAGATTTCAACCGCCCGGGTCATATCTTTCCCCTGAAATACAGGGAGGGAGGGGTGCTGAAAAGAGCTGGGCACACGGAAGCTTCAGTTGATCTATCTGTATTAGCCGGTTTAGAACCTGCAGCAGTTTTATGTGAGATTGTGGATGATGATGGCTCGATGGCTAGGTTGCCAAAGCTTCGTGAGTTTGCACAGGCTGAAAAATTGAAGATTATTTCTATCGCTGATCTAATCAGGTATATTTATGAGAGCATTTTTCATAGAGGGTGTTGGTGTTGTTGTAGTTAGGATTTTTATTGCTCTTCTTACCACTTAAGTTATTAATATAACTGTAATTGACAGATATAGAAGGAAAAGAGATAGGCTGGTAGAGCTGGCTGCATGTGCATTGATACCTACGATCTGGGGGCCGTTTAAAGCATACTGTTATAGGTCATTGCTAGATGGGATCGAGCACATTGCGATGGTTAAGGTAAGCTTTTAATCCGAATGCTCACCACCTTCGTCTGTTTCATATTTTGGTTCAGTAAGCAACAATAGTCAGTTGTGCCATTAGCAACATGGGGAAACTGTTATCAATATGACTAGGCCGTATGAGTAGGACATTGACTGGATATTGGAACATGCAGGGTGAAATCGGTGATGGACGAGATATTCTTGTGAGGGTACATTCCGAGTGCCTTACCGGCGACATATTTGGGTCAGCCAGATGTGATTGCGGAAACCAGTTGGCACTAGCAATGAAGCAAATCGAGGCTACTGGGCAGGGTGTATTAGTTTATCTTCGTGGACATGAAGGTAAAGGGATCGGTTTAGGCCACAAGCACCGTGCTTACAACCTCCAAGATGATGGACATGACACGGTTGAGGCCAACGAGGAGCTCGGATTACCTGTGGGTTCTCGGGAATATGGCATTGGGGCACAAGTAAGTTCTCTTCTGCAAATTGTTTGGTATCATTTATGTTTTGCTTCTCTATCTGTCACACTTAGTTACCTCTTATATTAAAGGTTCTATCATAAAGAATCAAATAATGAAATCTACTTTTGGTCAATGTCGGATCTTTGCTTACTAATCTATGACAGAAAATTAACTCAATTGAAACCACCGGCACCCTTCAATTTCAGAGTGTTGTCACAGTCCTTAACATCGTATTCCATTCGGATCGGAAGTTCAACCATGTCTTTATACCTGCACCACATGCTTGTGGCATTAAAAGTGCCTGAATGCAGCGTTCAATTTGTTGCAGATACTAAGGGATCTTGGTGTTCATACAATGAGGCTGATGACAAACAATCCGGCAAAGTACGTCGGGCTTAAGGGTTACGGTTTGGCCATCTCCGGCAGGGTACCGTTGTTGACATCAATAACTAAAGACAACAGTGGATACTAGGAGACCAGAAGAGAAAAAATGGGGCTTACTTTTTGGTTCAGAAAGAAACTTGCAAAACTGCTTGTTGTTTGAGTTGGTAATTTCAAGTAGGTCTGCTCCGATTATAACACTTTGATACGATGATTTGGAAATGAAATATTAATTTATTGTTTGATTTAAATTTTTACACTAATTTAAAAGCCTAATCGATTTGTAACGAACATGATCATATTTTATTTGTTTAAGTTTTTTTTATATATTCGAGAATTTTTTAAGATAATACTTTTCTTGTTAAGTAGTAATACATGTATTTATATGCTTTTGACCAATTAAGAAAATCAATACCACATTCGATGATCAAAAAGTGAAATTAAAAATAGGGAGGCCCTTAATATGGAAATATCCCATACCAAGAAAACACGAGGATCCTCTAGAATACAGGCTGAAATTCGGTAATTTCTATCTAGATCGTAATGCATAATCGAAATACTTAAGAGGGTCTCAAATAATCATAATATATTTTATATAAATATAAAACGAAGAAAAAAAGTCTAAAAAATATGTTTTTAATAAAAAAAAGGTAAATTACTTAAAATACCACTCACTTTTAAGTGTAGGCTCGAAAATTTCATTAACGTTTTAATTTTGTTAATTTTAACACTGACGTTTCATTAAGCTTGACATTTCATGGAACATATGGTTGATATCACTGAAGCTATGAATTTGAGTCGATGAGGAAAATGAAAGTATAAAACTACTGTTAAACATATATATTAGTTTTGTTAAGATTATAGTATGCTCGTAAGTTAGCTTGGTGGTTAGGTGTTTGACATTGATTCAAGAAGACTTTGGTTTGATTCTTATGGAATGTAATTTTTCATCAAATGATTATATTAAAACGACGCCATTTTATATTTTTTGAGCATTAAAATAGTTGTGCCAAACGACATCATTTTGACGAGGATGCCACATCATCACCGTTACGACGCAGAGTTGTCATTAACGTGGGATGATATAATTGGAGCTAAATATAAATGTCAATGTTAAAATTGACAAAATTAAAAATCAGTGATATTTTTAAACCCGTAGAGAGTGATATTTGAAATAATTTACTCTTAAAAAATCACTTTCAATCTTAATTAATATCCCCAGAGCTTTAGCCATTGCATGCGCCGCTTAGTTTCCGTTTCTCCCAAGTGGGTTGCCATCACCTTAATTGATGATTACAATAGGATAAGCTTATGGGGCATTTTAAGTTGCCAAAGGACTCGGTCTAAGAACATAGCTCTAGTTCTTTTAGTTTTCCGCATCTTTATCAATTTCTTATTTGTCTATCCCTAATTAAGATCTAAAGGAAGATGAAAGGGCCGAGAAATCTGAAACCTATGTAGCAGAGATATTGGTGTTGGAGATCCTCTCCAAACTTCCTGTTAAATCCTTGACACGTTTCAGGTTAATTTGTAAGGCTTGGTCTTTATCTTTTCATACCCCATTTTTATTTATCAAACATCATCAAAACAACATCAGAAACAACAACCTTAATCTCTTCCTCAAACGTAGTCAGGATAAAACCCGTGATGCATCTTTTATATCTCTCAACTTCTGACTGAGAAAGATCAAAACTTTTCGGTAAACCACAACATTCACTTATCCATTTAAGATATTATCCATACTCTCTCTATAGTATCGATACCCTTCCTAAGGTATCGATACCCCTACAACTATTTCATCCATTTTAACCCAACTTCAAATACCTTCTATAGCACTTATTCTACTGTTTTACACCTATTCGATCCTATTTCTGTTCATACTATGGGTCTTGGGCCTCTCGGATAACATTTTGGCCAAAATAGACTGAAAGTATCGATACTAGCCCAAGAGTATCGAAACTCCTGAAAAAGTTTCGATACTTCGTACAAGTATTGGTACTTTTAAACATATGTTATGCCCAGTTTCAAAATTTTCTAGGAGTTTCAAAATTATGGGCCAAAGTTTCAATACTCTTGCCCAAAAACTCACGAATTTTCCCAAAACGAAGAACTAGTATCGATACTCCACCTGTAGAAATCATAAAACACATACGAAAATGCTATATTTAAATCCCAAAGACCCTAGTGAGGTCACCCAATATTCTTTAAAGTCTTATGTGATTACAAGAAGCATAAACAAGAATTTATATCATACTTATAACATAAATTATGTAATTACCATTAACATATATAACTTACTCTCAAGCTAGAACTCATTTCTAATGATCAATAGGAGTATGGAAGTGTTGATAGTGTTACCTGGTATCCTTGGTTGCTAAAATCTCACTTAACTCAACTAGGAGTCACCTTACATCCTTTGCTTTAGAACTTCACCCACCTAATTGGCTAATCAAAACAAAACTAGGGGTTACTAACTTGACTTCAACTTGGAAACTAAGTTAAAACACTCTATACTAATTAATATTACTTAAAACAAGATTAAATCTCTAGGTTCCTTTCAAACTCACAAAAATCCATTTTGAAAATAAATTTTAAAACTCATAAAATGGAGCTTAAAACAAAGCTTGAAGGATGGAGAGAAGCATTCTTATCTTGGCTAAACAAATCTAAGATTGAGATGCTTGAAACTTGAAACTTGACACTTGAAAGAAAGAAGAAATTGAAACTAATGGAAAGAAGAAGAAGAAGAGTGGGTGAGATATTATGGAGAGTTTGGTTACGTGAAATTATATAAAAAGAGGGGGGAAAGTTTTTAGCTTCAACAAAATGGGTAAACTACACTTTAGGTCTTTCACCTATTAACTCACTTTAAACTATCTCTTAGCTTTAACTCTTAGGCCTACCTTAGGCCCAACACCTATATAACTTGGTCCAACTATCTTGGGAGGACTAATTGTCTTGAATTAAAGGTCTCTGGTTGATCCAAACTACTAACCCGAGTTTCTGGGTAATACAACTCTCCCCTCCTACAAGAAATATCGTCCTCGAAATTTCCCTAGAGAAAGGTTTTACTCTGAAACTCTATTGGGCATCTATGACAGGTCTTGACCACTAGAACATCTAACTCTGAGGGATGAACACTCGAACCCTTATCTTAAAAGCATCGAATAAAACTCTCTCTCCTGAACTATGTCATAATGGATAGAAGAATCCTTATGACACTCCACAACTCACTGCTAACGCCAAAACTTTCTTTACTAACCTCTTTATCTACTGGGCAAAGATAACTCAGAGACCTGATGACATATACCAAAACTTATACTAAAATCAACTTCTATGCTTATGACGCACAACTCTAATTTAATACTCATCTATGCTAACCAACTACTTCCTCGACCTTATGGTTTCACCACGAAACCTTCATTAGAGAAAACATTTTGAGCCCTAACGGCCGACATAAACTTTAAACCCTTGTGCTTCTCATTGTACATCACTATCTTACTCTTATATTCCTTTCTAAGCTTAACCTATCGAACTTACACTTTAAACTCACATCTACTGTGGCCTGAGCTCTCTACTATAGCAGATGCAAAAGTACGACATAACTTTGTAGGGCATGTATACTCATAAACTCCTTATTGACACTGATTGACTTTGACCGAAACTGACCACCACTAACCCGCGGGTCCTAGGAACGTCAATCCTGGCGCTCTGATACCACTAAATGTAACACATTAGACCAGTACAACACACAATCGATCGATTTAAGGTGCTACACAGAACCACCAAAGTGGCTAACCAACTTATTCTTACTTTCTTGTACTTTAAAACCACTCTTTACATCTGAGAGCCCTAAAAATATATAGATACCTACATACTGACTCTTAACTTACTTTACAACTCAATACAACTAAATTCATTAATATATATGCCATTTAAGAAACTTGTGACATACTCTGCTCTGAACTAGATTTGGACCTCGGTCTCTCTAAAGCTTCTCAACTGAATTCATTAATATTAATATGTATATTAATATAATTATTTATATATTTTAAAATAAATTAATAATAAATGAAAAATTATGTATAAAATCAAAATTCATTAAAAATTCGGATTGTAGATTAAATTTTTATTTCGTCACTGACCATACCATACTAAAAGTAAAGGTAAGAACCGATTGAGGATGTCTCTTACGCGAGGCCGTGTGCCACTGCATTAGTCGGATGACGAATATGATAGACAAAGATATGTGCATTAGCCTCCAAATTATGACATGCTTCAACAAGATAAAAGGTTACAACATCGATGTTGGGGGATAGTAATTGATGCTGGTTTCTGCCAATGAGGAAGCTGAGAAGTGGGGTTGTAAATGAGTCGAGTCGAGCTCGAGTATTGTGAAGTTCGACTCGATTCAAAAATAGAATTCAACTTGACTTAAAAACTCGTGAGCTTAAAATTTTCAAACTCTACTCAAATTTGAAACCATAAATTAAAGCCAATAACAGCTAAAAAAAGCTCCAAATAAAAAAAATCTTAAACTTAACTCGATTGAAGCTTAAACTTGAACCTTAAATACATGAAAACTTTATACTGTATTTTTTAAATATCAACACATAAATGTTAATAGTATTAATAATTTGTTTTTAAAAAAATAAAATCTTAATATATTATATTTTCGAGTTGCTCGTGAGCCTTCCTAGTTGAGTATCAAATAGTTCGTTTCGGCTCGTTAAAAACTCGAATTGAGTCAATTCGACTTGAATATTTATCAAACTTTAACCGAGTCAATCTTAAGTAACTCAATATCTATCTCGTCACATTTACAATCCTATTAACAAGTGTAGTGATGATCGGTAGGCAAGGGGAAACACATTGACATACTCGATTCATATATTGTTTTATAGAATTTGTTAAATAATTTTAATAATGATAAAATTTTTATTTTTTTTTTAAAAAATCGAGTTTAAGATAAAATTTAATATCCTTTATCTTCCCAATAAAATTAAATAGCAAAGAAGAATATTCTTCTGAAATTTTGCGTACGTATATATCTCTTCAAGCATTCCCGCCGGACAAGCTTCCTCTTTCAAA